GCTTTTACATTCACCACAGTGTTGCGAACTTTGCACCAGAAATTTTTCAGTTAAATGTGCACCTCCAAATTTTTAGCGCGATTCAATTTTAGAACAAGAGTTATTCATTTTGATTAGTCCCTCCATGCACCACCTTGATTTACCACCACGAAGGTGATTTTTTTTAACCTTAAATTTACCCTTTTCTTTTAACCCTCCATGATCAACCTTGAAAAAAAAATTACACCAGATTTTTTTTGTATTCACCAATGTGGTGCAATTTTTTGACCAATAAATGTCATTGAAGTTTGTCCCTTGATGCACCTTTGTGGCACCACCTCAAAGGAATTGACGCAATAAATGGGTTTCAATTTTGCCTTCAAATCAAGTTATCAAGAAATCTAGATATTTTTTAACATAACTTGGTAATTGTGGAAATAAAAATCTTATTTATAAAAGGTGGGGCAATTGCGTTCCATACGATTTTGACCGAGATTTCAGGCATTTTCGACGGAGATTTCAGATGCTTCCAACGATACACAGGGGTGGGCCTCCATACAAAAGTTGGACAAAACCTAAAATGTTACTAAATCTGGCTTCCAGTACTTATTTGACGTTTATCTTTGTTTACTTCCGAAGTTTTCTACAAGCGTTTTTGATAAACAGCGTAAACTATGTACGTTCGAGAGATTTCAGTGATGTAAAGACATATTTCAGAGGATTTTTATCTCGAAACCACCGTAGAATTGAAGTTTAAGGTATGTATTTTAGGTTTATAGGTTTATATTATCAAGTATACAGTTTTCCATGTATACAGATTCGTGAATGCTTTATTTGTATTGTTGACAAACATTCAGCTTTTTTCTTATAAAAGCCATCCGTAAATTTATTATTCCGTGACCCCGTGATAAATTGGCTTCCTTGAAGCATATTCGTTCGTGTGACAATCAGTTTATCAGTGTTTAGTGATACATTTCGAACGTTTTTGCTTTTCGTCATTCGTGGTGATTGTTTCCAGTGTACTACTGTACTACCATGACGCTTTCGAAATCTTCATCTACTTAGCTGGTTACCGCCCAAGCTTTTTGCTCGTCGATTAACTTGAAAGCATATCATACGGTCTAAGCAAAGGCGCATTACCATGGCAAAACACTGCGCTAATACGAAGACTACCAACCAAGAAGACTGGCAACTCTGCCAAAAATCAGGAGACAGTAACGGCAACACCTCTTCTGAGCAAAAGTGGGACCAGTGTATGATGGTGTGTGTTAATTCACGAGTGCATTCACACACATAGGTAGAAATAAATAGCTGTCAATTATTGGTTTTGTTATGATTGTCGTAAAAAGTGAAACGTTTCTTTGTTTGCTTTATGCTGACAACGAGTAAAATTCAATCTGAAATTGAACAGATGCGTAAGTACCAGTGCTGAGATTTGTCATTGTCATTGACAGACTTTTGCGCGATATTGACAAAATTGTTTACACATAGTCAATGATAGACTTGATCCTCAAAAAAATCTTTGTCAAAATCTCATTAATTTTTTCGTCAATGACAAAGATTCACCTGGTAACAGAAAGTGTAATTTCATGCATTCTGAGACACATTATTGTTATTCAAGCGGTTCAGGACGTAGATGCTTATTCACTTTAATGGCTCCATGTAATTGTTTTGCTCAAGCCATTTAATTTCATTTCAAATTTAGCTAATAAACAAATCAGCACATGTTCGTCACTGACAAAAATGCTACTGACAATTGACATGGTTTGCCTTGACGATGACTGTTAGTTCAAACGAGTGACCAAAGCAGAATTTTGAGTATCACCGTGTATTGTCGAAATTTTGCAGCACTGGTAAGTACATTTGTTTAGAAAATTAAAACTATGGCAATGATGCCATTCAAAATGATGGTGGGACCTTCGTCGGTCATTAATTTGCTATCTCAGAATTATCTTCCACTTTTCCTATGCCCTTTAGTGATGCATTAATGGACATTCGTATGGTACATTAGTAAAATGCATGCTCGTTTTGGGGTTAAAGTTGTGACGCTTGCCAACTTGGCACGGTACTCGCTGACCATTTGAATTTCACTGACCAATTTTACACTGTTGTTATCATTCTCTGGAAGGGGTCGGTCGATTCCAAGAATTGTTAAAGCATACAGATTATCACTATCCGGTGGTTTCATTACCGATAAACCGACATGAAACTTAAAATGAACTCTTGATCGAGAATCCATAGCGGCCGATTCAAATGTGCAGCGATCCCATCTGTCAAAACCATAGAAATGTTTTATCTAGATAAAAATAATTTGTCCGAAATAGATTATACCCCGTTCACAATACAGCCTATATCACGTAATATAGACTGTCTTCTAATGAGCACTCATACATAGAGTTCTCTACCACCGTTAGTATGAGTGAGAAGTTTCACTAATAGGGTAGAGAACTACTTCGGCCTAATCGCCCATTTCGGGTCTATCGAGCAGAAAACTTCAAATAAATCCATGATGTCAACTGTAGCAGCAACCAGGATTAAATAGAATGCTCAATTTGCAAAATAAAAGCATTTTAAGATTGCATTTGTATACCTCCCCGTGGAAAATTTTGAAACCATCATCACTTTCATCGTTCTTCTATTCTCCACGAGTGCCAACTTTGATTTGCCAATAGCTTCAGAGCACTTAGCCGAAGACTACAAATCAAGAAGACTGGCAACTGTTCCCTTCTCCCATACAAATGTCAAACGTCACTGATAACAGCGCCTTTGTCAATCAAAGGTGGAACTTTGAAGCACAAGTGTTAGTGCGACTGTTCATAAACAGTGACTGTGTGTGTGACATAATGTCACCGATGGGGTTGTACGCAATGGTGACGTAGGACTACGTGGTCTTATATAATAAATCTTATTTGTTAACTGCAGCTGTTTTGTGTAGGAATAGGAATTTGAGCAGGGGTTTCTGTGTTTATACTCTTTAGTATGACGCGCTTGACATAGATGGCCCACAGCGACTCACGCAGATCTACTGATTCCGATCAATAGCGGTGCGGCTGCAGCTCGTTGCGTTGTGTACTGGAGAACACCACCACTCACCACGCGGTGATTGAATAAACACCGTTTGGTGAGACCGGATGGAATTCAACTTTGAAATCTGTGTTAGGGAAAACGCTTTTCGCAGGCAATCGGTAATTATTTTAATTATCATAGCAACAGTTGCACATTCGTGCAATTTCCAATAATGACATTTTGAAAAATGCTTAAGTTTTTAATTTAACAGATGCGTAGGAATATTTCTGATCGCTTGGTGATGAAATTATTGAAATTGGTTCAGGGGCAGCTGAGTTATTAACGTTCAAAATCTGTCATAATTTTGTTACATGTTCCATTTTCAGTTTTCACAAAGTGTATTCCCTTATAGAAATCATAGACGTAGTCCTACGTTAAAAAATCATGCGATTTACTGACACCTATTGTAACTGATTTGAGGCAAATCGAGACTAATTTCGAACAATTGAAGATAATTTTTGAGTTCAATCAACTCAACCATTCTTGGCGAACGATAACGTTAAATAGAAAGAGGTCACAGTAATATAAGAACAGATCTGTAATGAGGCAATATTGTCGGTTAATAATAAGCTAATAATCAACATTAATCAGCGTCAGTTAGCCATTTGGAAACAATCCTTAACCGGGGAACGCTCGAGAACTCATGTTTTAACATCTCCAAACTTTACTGAGCAACAGGGTGTCTTAAAGCACCATTGCCGGCGCACAGGTCTAATCCAAGGAAAAACAAAGCAACGTCTCTCGCTTATATGGAAAGACCACACATTCGTATTTTTGCAGACTCTTGCATTAACTCATCATAAATAAGACCCTCATCTCGCCGTAGCCCATTATGGTTATGGTGCTCTTCACAGAATAGTAAAAATCCCATCAGCAAAATAAGAATCATTTCCATTCTTTCACGCCAGCCACTCCCAACTCCATTGCCGTGTTGCCACAACATAAAACCGCAAAATTTGCACAACCACTGGTCATCGACGATTTCCCAAAGTACCCATTTCCGTGCTCGTGTGCCCACCCACGCATATTCGAGATTATATTCTTTGTCCCGCACTCAGCCCCTACCCACCCCTCCCTACCTGCCGCTCCCATCCTAATCCTTCCCAATCGACGACGTCGATTTGCGTTCAGAAAATCGTGCTGACAGTGCGAAAACGGATTTTCTTCCCCGGAGCTCATCTTATCCTTAGCAACAATCATCCCATCATCGTCGCCTACTGAGGATAAGGAGCGGAGAAAGTGCCTTCGTCGCGTGTGTTGAAATACGACCGAGTGAGTGAGTGAGTGGGTGAGCAAGCGAGCCAGTGAGACTTTCGTTTAATATTTCAAGAAAATGGAACAGAATCACTTGAACAATAGCAGTCATCATCTTAGATATTGGCACCAAATCCCTTCACCGTTTGCTGATGCGTGCGGAAAAATTTCCTCCAGAAGGGTAACAGTGAGGTTACCCCCTGGAGGGCTCTTTCTCTTCTGGTTTCCCATTTTATTACTTTCAATCGATTTGCTGTAAGATTTCCATTGGTTTCCAATTCCTATTCAAACGAGTTGCTGCCTCCTCCCCTAAGCTCATCTTCATCAATTTGCACCTCTGATCTCCGACTCCGAGAGCACTTCGGAATTAGATTATGACAACAATGATTGCGAAGCATCGCCAAGTAAACCGGTTGGGGGGGGGAGGGGTTGTAGGGAATGGATAAATGGGAAAATTTTCCCAGAATTCGATCTCCGAACCCAGACTGCTAGCAGGAAAGACAAGTCAATTGAGCAAAGGAGAAAGATGCAAATCTGACAAATTTGAATAACTTTTCAATTTGGCCAATAAAATTCCGTCCGTGGGGAGGGGGGTAGGTCAGGTAAAGAAGTTTGATTTGCACCTTTCTTTCAATCGGTCTCGAGATTTTACAGTTGATTTCACCCCAGTCAAACAACAACAACAACAAATCAACGCTCACCTGGATGTTGAGCTCCAGGTTCTTCCACTGACAGAAGCGGGTGTACTTGTCACTTTCGAGAAAATTCCGAAACGGCTCCCCCCGAAGATGGTGGAAGATCTCGTCGATGTACGGCTCGAACAGATTCACCGGTACCTCGTTCTTCATGAGGTACTTTTGCACGTGCGCCACCGCCTCCTTCGAGTATTCCTGTAATGGGAGGAAAAGAGCAATGACAGCATATCAGTATGGCGGCGTAGTAGGCGGGGGTAAATACGGAAGATGCTGTGCGCGCCGGTAAATATAGCAACAACAGTAACAGCACCAGGTAAATGGTGTGGGATGGACTAAATCTTGGCTAAACATGACTGATTTTTTTTTTCTTTCTCATACGTTCAAAACGGTTATGACATGGAAAGCTGTGTTTAATAGCATTGGTGGCAGGGAAGGACGCAGGTACATTAAAGCGTCCACCTACGCATATTCCGTTCCGTGTTTCACTCGTCATTCCATTCATTCTATTGGGTCGTAGGTGGAGTCAGGTTTCAACGGAATATGGGGGTGATGAGAAGGTTAAAGAATCCCGGTCAAGCCTTAACTGGTTCCTGAGAAACTTTCTCGCAAAGGTTTGATATGGTTGAACAGCTTTTCCCAGAAGGTTGTAATTTTTTTTTCAGAACCATGAAAAGCGTCTCTCACGTAAGAAACGAACCAGCGTACGGCTGATAATCTCTCAGTTAAAGATAATAATAATAAAATTCTCCCAGAGTCTTGAAAAGCTTCTCACTGAAGCTTGAAAAGCTACTCGCAAAAGCTTTAACTGCTATTCAAAGAAACTTAACAAGCTTTTTACAAAAGTTTAAAAAACTTTTCACAGAACTTTATACAGAAGCTCGAAAAACTTCTTCCACAGTCTTGAAAAGCTTCTCACAGAAGCTTTAACTGCTATTCAAAAAAGCTTAAAAAGTTTTTCGCAAAACCTTGAACAACTTTTCACAGAAACTTGAAAAGCTTTTCGCAGAAGCTTGAAAAACTTTTCACATAATCTTGAAAAGCTTTTCACAGAAGCTCGAAAAGCTTTTCGCAGAAGCTTTAAAAGCTTTTCACAAAAGCCTAAAAAACTTTTCACAGAAGCTAGAAAAGCTTTTACAGAAGCTGTTCAAGCTTCTCACAGAAACTTGAACAGCTATTCATCGAAGCTTCAAAAGCTTCTCACAGAAGCTTTAAAAGCTTCTCACAGAAGCTTGAAAAGCATCTCACAAAAGCTTGAAAAGTTTTTCACATAAGATTTAAAAACTTTTCACTGAAGCTTGAAAAGTTTCTCACAGAAGCTTTAACTACTATTTTAAGGAGCTTGAAAAGCTGCTCACAAAGCTTGATTTTTTTTCACAGAAACTTGAAAAGTTTTACACAGAAAATTGAAAAACTTCTCCCAGAGTCTTGAAAAGTTGCTCACAGAAGCTTGAAAAGCATTTCACAGAAGCTTGAAAGCATTTCACAGAAACTATAAAAGCTTTTCACAGAAGCTTGAAAAGCTTCTCACAAAAGCTTTAATTGCTATTCACAACTTGAAAAGCTTTTCACTGAAGCTTAAAAAGTATCTCACAGAAGCGTGAAAAGCTTTTTACAGAGGCTTGAAAAGCTTTCCACAAACGCCTGAAATTTTTTTCACAGAAGCTGGAAAAGCTTTTTATAGAAACTTAAAAAGCATTTCGCAGAAGTTTAAGAAGCTTCTTATATAAACTTGAAAAGCTCCTCATAGAAGCTTGAAATGTTTTTCACAGAAGCTTGAAAAGCTTTATACCGAAGCTTGAAAACTTTCTCACATAAGCTTGAAAAGTTTCTCACAGGAGCTTGAAAAGCTAATCATATAAGCTTGAAAAGCAACTCACAGAAGCTTGAAAAGCTTCTCAAAGATGCTAGAAAAGCTTCTTACAGAAGCTTGAAAATCATCTTACAGAAGCTTGAAAATCTTCTTACAGAAGCTTTAAAAGCTTCTCACAGAAGCTTGAAAAGTATCTCACAGAAGCTTGAAAAGTTTTACACATAAGCTTTAAAAACTTTTCACTGAAGCTTGAAAAGTTTCTCACAGAAGCTTTAACTACTATTTTAAGGAGCTTGAAAAGCTGCTCACAAAGCTTGATTTTTTTCACAGAAACTTGAAAAGCTTTACACAGGAAATTGAAAAACTTCTACCAGAATCTTGAAAAGTTTCTCACAGAAGCTTAAAAGCATTTCACAGAAACTATAAAAGCTTTTCACAGAAGCTTGAAAAGCTTCTCACAAAAGCTTTAATTGCTGTTCACAACTTGAAAAGCTTTTCACAGAAGCTTGCAAAAACTTAAAAAGCTTTTCGCAGAAGTTTATGCTTGCAAAGTTTCCCTAAGAATCAATGCTTCTCACACAAATAGAAAAAGCTTCTAACGGAAACTGAAAAAAGCTTTACACAGATTATAAAAAGTCTCCCACAGAAACTAAAATAACTTCAAATAGAAGCTTAAATGCTTCTCACAGAAGCTTAAAACATTTTAAAAAGGTTTAAAAGCTTCTCACCGAAGCTAAACTGCTTCTCACCGAAGCTTAAACGTTTCTCACAATAGCATGAAAATGCTTCTATCAGAACCATGAAAAGCTAATCACAGAAACTTGAGAAGCTTTCCCCAGTAAAATCTTCTCTCATATACTTAAAGAGCTTCTAACAAAAGCTAGAATCGCTTCTCATAGAAGCTTGAAAATCCAGCAAACAATTTCAGCTGTAGAATAGAAGCTTTAGCAGAAACTAGACAAATTTTACACAGAAGCTCGAAAGGATATTTAATATTGAAAAGCTTCTTTCAAATGAATGAAATGCTTCTCACTGAAGATTGATATTGTTTTCTTTGAATAATGAAATGCATCTCACAGTAACGTGGAACAGGTAACAGAAGCTTGAAAAGCTTCTCACAGAAGCTTGACAAGCTTCTCACAGAAGCATGAAAAGCTTCTCACAGAAGCTTGTAAAGCTTCTCTCCGAAGCTTGAAAAGCCTCTCACAGAAGCTTGAAAAACTTCTTACAGAAACTTAAAAATATTTCCATAGAAGCTTGCAAAGCTTCTCACAGAAGCTTAAAAGCTTCCCACTGCAACTTAAATTCTGCTCAAAGACGTAAGATAAGCCTTTACAGCTAAAATAAAAGCTTTTCACAGTTTAAAAGCTTTGGTAAATGCAAGAAAAGCTTCTTACAGATGCTTTTAAACTTCTTACGGAAGCTTGATAAGCTTCTCACAGAAGTTTAAAAGCTTCTTACAGAAGCTTAAAAAACTTTTCACAGAACCATACAAAGTTTCTCATGAACCTTGCAAAGTTTCTCACAGCAACTTGAGAAGCTTTTCAAAGATGCTTGAAACGCTTCTCACAGAAGCTGGAAAAGTGACTCACAGAATATTAGCAACTCACAGATGCTTGAAAAGCTTCTCACAGAAGCTTAAAAAGCTTCTCACAGAAGCTTGAAAATATACTGACAGATGCTTCAAAAGCTTCTCACTGAAGCTTGAAAAGTTTCTCACAGAAGCTTTAAATGCTTCTTACAGACGCTTAAAAAGCAATTCACAGAAGCTTGATAAGCTCACAGAAGCTTGAAAAGCTTCTCACAGAAGCTTCATAAACTCACAGAAGCTTTGAAAAGCTTCTCAAGAAGCTTAAATAGCTTGTCAAAGAAAATTAAAAAGTAGCTCAAAAGAGGTTTGAAAAACTTCTGACAGAAGCTTGAAAAGCTTTTCACAAAAGCATAGAAAGCTTCTCAAAAAAGCTGAAAAAGTTGCTAACAGCAGCTTGAAAAGCTTCTCACAGAAGCTTAAAAAGTTGCTAACAGCAGCTTTAAAAGCTTCTCACAGAAGCTTAAAAATTTCTCAAAGAAGCTGAAAAAGTTGCTCACAGAAGCTTAAAAAGCTCCTCACAGAAACTCTAAAAGATTCTCACAGAACCTTTGAAAAGCTTCTCATATAGCACATAGCTTAAAAATCTACTCACAGAAGCTTGAAAAGATACTGACAGATGCTTCAAAATCTTCTCACTGAAGCTTGGAAAGTAACTCACAGAAGCTTGAAAAGTTTCTCACAGAAGCTTTAAATGCTTCTTACGGACGCTTAAAAAGCAATTCACAGAAGCTTGATAAGCTCACAGAAGCTTTAAAAGCTTCTCACAGAAGCTTGATAAGCTCACAGAAGCTTTGAAAAGCTTCTCAAGAGTTGCTCACAGAAGGTTGAAAAACTTTTCACAGAAGCTTGAAAAGCTTTTCACAAAAACGTAGAAAGCTTCTCAAAGAAGAGCAAAAAGTTGCTAACAGCAGCTTGAAAAGCTTCTCACAGAAGCTTAAAAAGTTGCTAACAGCAGCTTTAAAAGCTTCTCACAGAAGCTTAAAAAGCTTCTCACAGAAGCTTAAAAAGTTTCTCACAGAAGCTTAAAAAGCTTCTCACAGAAGCTCTAAAAGATTCTCACAGAACCTTTGAAAAGCTTCTCATACAGCACATAGCTTGAAAAGCTACTCACAGAAGCTTGAAAAGCTACTCACACAAGCTTGAAAAGCTACTCACAGAATCTTGAAAAGCAACTCACAGAAGCTTGAAAAGCTGCTCACAGAAGCTTGATCAGCTCACAGAAGCTTTGAAAAGCTTCTCACACAAGCTTAAATAGCTTGCCACAGAAGATTAAAAAGATGCTCACAGAAGCTTGAAAAGCTTTTCACAAAAGCTTAAAAAGCTTCTCAAAGAAGCTGAAAAACTTACTAACAGCAGCTTGAAAAGCTTCTTACAGAAGCTTAAAGCTTCTCACAGAAGCTTTAAAAGATTCTCACAGAACATTTGAAAAGCTTCTCATATAGCACATAACTTGAAAATCTACTCACAGAAGCTTGAAAAGATACTGACAGATGCTTCAAAATCTTCTCACTGAAGCTAGGAAAGTAACTCACAGAAGCTTGAAAAGTTTCTCACAGAAGCTTTAAATGCTTCTTACAGACGCTTAAAAAGCAATTCACAAAAGCTTGATAAGCTCACAGAAGCTTTAAAAGCTTCTCACAGAAGCTTGATATGCTCACAGAAGCTTTGAAAAGCTTCTCAAGAGTTGCTCACAGAAGGTTGAAAAACTTTTCACAGAAGCTGGAAAAGCTTTTCACAAAAACGTAGAAAGCTTCTCAAAGAAGAGCAAAAAGTTGCTAACAGCAGCTTGAAAAGCTTCTCACAGAAGCTTAAAAAGTTGCTAACAGCAGCTTTAAAAGCTTCTCACAGAAGCTTAAAAAGCTTCTCATAGAAGCTTAAAAAGCTTCTCACAGAAGCTTAAAAAGCTTCTCAAAGAAGCTGAAAAAGTTGCTCACAGAAGCTTAAAAAGCTTCTCACAGAAGCTCTAAAAGATTCTCACAGAACCTTTGAAAAGCTTCTCATATAGCACATAGCTTGAAAAGCTACTCACAGAAGCTTGAAAAGCTACTCACACAAGCTTGAAAAGCTACTCACAGAATCTTGAAAAGCAACTCACAGAAGCTTGAAAAGCTGCTCACAGAAGCTTGATCAGCTCACAGAAGCTTTGAAAAGCTTCTCACACAAGCTTAAATAGCTTGCCACAGAAGATTAAAAAGATGCTCACAGAAGCTTGCAAAGCTTTTCACAAAAGCTTAAAAAGCTTCTCAAAGAAGCTGAAAAACTTACTAACAGCAGCTTGAAAGCTATTCACAGAAGCTTGAAAAGCTACTCACAGAAGCTTGAAAAGCTACTCACAGAAGCTTGAAAAGCTCTCACAGAAGCTTGATAAGGTCGCAGAAGCTTTGAAAAGCTTCTCACACATAATCCTTAAAAGCTTCTCACAGAAGCTTAAATAGCTTGTCACAGAAGATTAAAAAGTTGCTCACAGGAGCTTGAAATGCATCTCATAGAAGCTTGAAAAGTTTTTCACAAAAGCTTGAAAAGCTTCTCAAAGAAGCTTAAAATGTTGCTCACAGAAGCTTTAAAAGCTTCTCACAAAAGCTTGAAAAACTTTTCAAAGAAGCTGAAAAAGTTGCAACCAGCAGTTTAAAAAGCTTCTCATAAAAGCTTTAAAAGATTCTCACAGAAGCTTAAAAAGCTTCTCATATAGCACATAGCTTGAAAAGCTTCTCACAGAAGCTTAAAAAGATTATCAATGAAAAGTAGTTTGTGAGTGAGAAAATAGAGTCGCGAGAAGCACACACAATTTAATCTGTGAAGAGTGTTTCGGTGGGCTTAAATGTCTCTATATTTTAGATTGAGTTGCTCTTCTAAGATCTGAACATCTTCTTGCAGCGAAATGCATCCAAAGGGCGCCGCTAGTGAATCAAATATATTGTGAATCAAGACTAATTTTGAATAAATGAGTATCATGTTGTGAGAAGCGAGTGTCTGAATAATAAGCGAGAAGCTAGTAAAACAAATATGTGAGTTGTGGGAAGCAAGTAGTTTAAAACAGAGTAGGAAGAAGCCCGGATGCGGAGGAGTGAGAAAGCAGTAAAGAGTGGTTACCATGAGAAGCTAGTTGTGATCAATGAGTATGAGCTGAAAAAAGTAAGTCGATAATGACTCACATTCACTTGATTCATATTCACCTCACACTAAACCACTCACTCATCGCTCATCTTATATTCTTCAAATTATTTATTTGGAATGTGTGTTTTAAGATTTATTTCCAACCTCATTTTCACTTACAGATTAGATAGAGTTTCGAGTTTTAAAGAGTTACTCAATCAAGGATACGTTAGAAAACCTTTTCATATAAACATGTGAGTCTGAATTGTCACGACGATTCCCCCCGCATGACTCCACCTGTGTATCCTTCTGGGGAATGACACCGACAGACATCGGAACAGACAGCCAGTCACAACGCTAAAAACGAATGGGAAATATACTCACGTGTGTATGCGATAGCATTTCTTTCATAATAAAATTGTCGTAAATGTCTCTGGCCTGCTTCCGCCGCTCGTCGTGGCACTCTGTCTTTTCGTAGGCTTTGATCTGTCGAGAGAAGAGAAGAGAAAACGGAAAAACAAACCGTTAGTGGCTAACGACTATTGTTTCAATCGGGGAATAAGTGCCGGAAAAAAACGGAGTAGACGCTTTCCCATCATCATCATCATCATCGTAGGAGGAGTCGCTCGTTTTATGTCGTAGTGTAGTAGGCTGGTTCGTCGGGTTGTCAAGTGAATGTTCTCATCTTCGCTGTCCTAAGCCGGTCTAACGCGATTACGGTTATTACGAGACCAACCAGGGAAGGATAATTAAACTGAGTTCTCCAGAAATACACACTCACACATAGAGAGGATGAAAAAGCGATACAGAAGCTAGTTAGCAAAAGGACATGACTTAATCATCAGCGGGTGAGTTATGTAATTCAGTTGAAACACACTTGTTGAAGAGTAACCGAATTTGATCATTTAATTATAGAAACTGATTTTTTTTTTTTTTGAATTGGGGACGTTCAGATCGAATTATTCGTTGCCAAGGATTTGGTCAATTGTGCTCGTCATTAACAATCGCAGCAAGCTTTGTCTTTGCTTTGTCCCTGCTTAAGCAGCAGCGAACGGTGAGGGGTGAGAAGCGAGAAAAGCGAGCCAGAACAAAATGACAATTTTTGCTCGTTAGTCCACTCATTCTTACTTCGGGGCTTGGCCTGGAGAGAAGCCAAGCTTCATGATTATTATTATCGTTGTTTCTGTTTCGGGGAGAGTAATCAAAGAAACGTGTCGCCAATAAAACCGATCCGGTGCGAGGTGGTACGGGGAATTGGAATTTTCCTGCCGGGTTGCGGGGTGAGCTGGGTGTGCGGTGAAAATTATGATACCGATAAAAACAAACCCGAAGGAGATGGGACGAGTTTGGGGGTGTGGCATTGGGAAATCATTATGATTGCTTTTGTATTGAAGGAATCGTTTGATTAAGTGCAGAACTTGAAGAGACAGGAAATGTTTGTGAGATGTTTGAATAATGAGCCAAGTGCCTAAGTACAGAAAGTGCAATCATCCAACTCCTCAAAGAGCAATCTATCAAAGCGAACCCTTGATGCTATTGATTTAGCTTCCCACGCAGAAGTCGGATCGGATGTTTTATCCCGAACGAGCCCTGGGAAGGAGGATTAAATTGACCATTATGAAGTTTTCCACTGATAACATAAACGATCACCATTGGAGCTGCGAGGACGGAGCAACTACGCAGAACTTCAATTACATCCAGTAATTCTGCAGGTTTTTAAAAGCATCCCACTCGCTGCCCCTTCGCCATGGTTCGGTAGAACAAAGTGAAACTTTTTCCATCAATCACATACTTTAGCTTGACATCAACTCGAGCTGAAGGTTCCTTAAAATGTTCACACTTGCTCTGGCTCTTGAAGTTTGAACAACTTTTGCCCCAATTGTAGCGAGTGATTGTGCAAAACTGGAGCATTTTAACAAAATCTAGTTTGCGCTTCACTCTTCAGGAGAAAATTGCGTTTCCCACCAACATAGAGCATAAGGAAAAAGCGCCGGAGCAAAAAGTGCTTTGCGAACATTAAAAGCAAGCTTTCATCCGAGTAGGCGCCGTGCAACTATTTACTCACAGCTTGCTACGATACTCGCAGCACCAAGAATAAGCAACTCACTGCTTGAAGATAAACATCGTCTTCGTCCTAGCCCTCGTGGAAAAGCAAAAATACTGTGTGAAACATTCCTTGGCAACCCCTAGTCCTAGTGCAATTCACATTCCGCAGCGGTGCATTTCCGAAGCACCGTAAAAACGGTTGAATTAAGCAAAGCGGTAAAGTTTTCAAAAAGTTGCAATTAATGTTGGAAATGAAAATAAACGACGGTGGTTACGTCAATCCGGTGCAGTGTGTTTTGGTTGGGAGAATGGTGTTCGGAGCGCTGGAGATGAATGATTCCAACTATAGGGTGTTCCACATCAAATTACATCAGGGAAAAATCGCTGTAGAAAATTAGCTAGTTGACCGATCCTTTTCAAACTTTCAGACAAGAAAATATAACCCATTAGTAAGATTTTTAATCATGTCTTTCTCAGATTTGACCTCCTTGGGATGCTTCCGTAGTGCCTGCTTCATACAGTGGTAGACATTCGTTTAGCCGAGACCCAGTTTTTCTATGTATATCGAAAGTAATACACAATGAATGCTCGGATTTGGTCTTGTACGATAGATTTCATTTATTTCTAACAAATTCATTAATAAAACTTAAAATTACGTTACGTTTGGATAGCAAAATTGAAAAAAATATCGGTACACGGGTAGACATTCGTTTAGCCGAATTGTTAAATTTCACCATGAAGATGACTTTTAATAAAGAATTTGGAAGAAAATCGATAGTTAATACTTAGTATGGCCGCCATTGTTACGAATCACTTCAAAAATACGGTTTGGCATCGAATCAGACAGCTTTTGCAGTGTTGCCATGTCGATTTTGGCCCAACAATCTTGAACTGCTGTTTTAAGACTGGAAATGCTGTCAAACTGACGTCCGTTTGCGTAAACCATTCCAGCCAAGATTCCCCATAGGTTTTCTATGGGATTACAATCAGGACTGCAAGCTGGCCAGTCCAGCAGTGGAATGTTTTCTTCATCAAACCAAGCCTTGGACTGTTTGGAGACGTGGATAGATGCATTGTCCTGCTGAAAAACGATGTCCTCATTTGCGTCGTTTTCAATATGACCGATCAAAACGTCATCCAGTAGCTCCAGGTACATTTCGGAATTCATCCGGGTTGAGATGAAACAAATTGGAAGCTTTGCATGGTAGGATAAGCCAGCCCATACCATCAAACTTCCACCACCAAAGTTTCGCTTCGATCTAACGACGCTGGTTTGATTCAAATCGTGCCAGTAGCAACTATAACAATCAGGCCCGTCTAAATTAAACCGCGCAATTTGTCGGGAAGTAACCGGAACATCGAGCTTTTGCTTTATTTGGGAACAGGACAGTCGATTTTGTGTTGCTTCATGCCTGATTTGACCTTTCATCCTTAACGATACTTTGGTGCGCCCTTTGGTGGCACGTTTAATGCCATATTTCGAACCCATTTTGAGGAAATTCCTTACTGCTTTCTCAGATCGACCAATTTTTCGGGCGATTGAGACATTCGAGTGGCCCTCTTCCTTGAACAATCTTATAATCCGCCGTTCTTCCTCCGTCAGTTCCTTCGCCATTCCTGAAACTATTACATTTGTCATTAATCAATAAAAATTAAACACCGCATTATTGACGCACCTTGTTGATTTTAAGTTGTTTTATCGAAATGCTTTAAAACACACTTGAAAACCGCGAGATATTTGTCAAAAACAAAACTTTTTCGCACCTCGGCTAAACGAATGTCTATGGTGAAAACGCTGTTTGAATGTTTACATCCGCCGCTACCGGTTTGGTGAGTGTGTGCGTGTGACTCGTTCCTCTCTTATTAAAAAGATGCAGATACACTACCACTACGACAAATCACATCCCGGATAAAAACATATTTTAAATATAATTTTTGAATATTTTCAAAATTTTTAGCTCTCGGCTAAACGAATGTCTATCACTGTAATAGCCCAAGACAACATTTGAATAGTGGCACGAAGCTAAATCCAGCCAAAAGATCGTAGGGTAGGGCCCTCAACAGAGGAAGCAGACGCTTCTGTAGACACTCCTTGAGGTAGATCTCCCCGTTCACAGTCCCGGTACTCACGAACGGCGCACTCCGTTAGCCACATGAGCAGATCGCTTGCCAAATCATGTATTTCTTGGCAAACTTTGAAAGTTTCTGCTTCCTTACTTCCTCCGGAACATCAAACTTGTGCTGGGCGGTGAAGAACAGTAGCCCCGGAAGCTGCCAGAGGTCCGCCTTGTCGTAAGACTCATCATCCATGATGAAACAATGGGGCTTCGTCAGCTTCTGGGTGTACAGTTTTCGGGCCCGTGACTTTCCCACCGTATTTTGCTGTTCGTCATGATTTGGTGCCTTCTGCACTTTGTACGTATGTAGTCCCTCCTGGTCCTTGGCTCTCTGACCGAAGCATTGTCGGGTGTTAAACGCTTCCACAACACGCTTGTGATCCTGATCACTAATAGAAAATCCATTCTGACCGCATTTCTCCTTCCGTTCGATGCCCAGAGTTTCGTAGTAACGTTTAATCACACGACTCACCGTTGACTGCACGATTCCGAGTTGTTTTCCGATGTCCCGATGACAGAGTTTAGGATTTTCCAGGTGCTTGCGCAAAATCAATTCGCGCATTCGCCATTTTCTCCAACTTTCCGCAAACTGACAGCGATAAAAATACAGTGTAAACAATACACTCTAAACTACTGCTACCCAAATTGTCAAGAGAATATACCCAATGGGTAATTTTCTACACCGTTTTTTTCGTGATGCAATTTGATGTGGGACACCCGTAAAAGCCCGGGACAAACTTTTTATTTTCAAAAATGTGTATCTTAGAATTGCCATGACCGATTAAATTGAAATATTTTTAACATCAATCCGGTGAGTGGTTGTTACATCTGTTGGATGGTACTCCCCCTCAAGCCCCTCCCTCTTTGTTATATAATCAAGGATGTGCTGGCATGGGGGTGTTTTTTTAAATGTTTATCATATATCTTACTTATCATTGCGACAACTTATTGATATTTTTTTTTTAACTCGAGAAAATAATAGAGAACAATTATAAGAACCTATGTCTACCTTGTAATCGATCCCGGATGTTCCGGATTATGGTCCTATATGGTCAAATTTATTATCTATCACAAACATATCGTGCGACATATCAAATCACATCTATTAGATGAAATAAAGGGTGATACGGTCAAAATTTGGTCAATATCAACTTGACGTATTTCTTTCAATTTTGCATTTAAAAAACCTGAACACCCCTCATTTTGAAGGTGTGTGTGTGTGTAGAATGTTGCTCCTAAAATGCCGTCCAAGCAAGAAGAGCAGCGTATCAAAATTTTGCTCGCGCATCGCGAAAATCCGAGCTACTCGCACGCAAAGTTGGC